TCACTGGGACCTGCTGCTTTTCCTCCCTATTAACTTTTTTTAATGGGAGATCTTACTTGCAGAGTCTCATCGCCGCCATGTTGCTCCGCCCTCAGTCCAGACTGACAGTTTTGAGGTACATTTCACAGTTTCTCCTATTGTCCTCTGTCACTGACTATTGAGCTGATTGTACCACTTTTATTGGCTCTTTGTCTTTCCTTGTTATGCTGTTCTGATTTTAATTTCTGCTCCCTAATAAATGCATAAACCATTTTAGATTTCTCAGCTCCCCATAACAAAGAATTATCTAACCTAAAAATGTTAGTAATGCTGAGGTTGAGAGACCCTGATATATGAAGCCGTTGGTTTGCTTTAAAATCCAAGCTCTTGGGGCCTCTCCTAGTGGCGCAGCGGTTGACCACTGGGCTGCGAAGCTGCCAGCAGTCTCTGCAGCGACGGTTCAATCCCCAGCGGACGGTGAGGGTCCCACATGGCATGACAGACCTTTCCTGCCGTACCCGCTATTCCCCTCAGCAGTGTATTTCATCAGTCTGCCTGTTCTGTTCCCTGCTATGTCTCTGGTGAATTCTGTCACCCTCCCACGCTTCTGACTGTACCCAGTGCTTGCATAAATAAATAAATAAATAAATAAATAAATAAATAAATAAATAAATAAATAAATAAATAAATAAATCTTTAAAAACAAATCCTAGCTCTTTATAGATTGTTGTTATCAGTCCCTTATCAGTCATATGGAGTGCAAAAATTTTCTCCCAGTCAGTGGAGTGTCTTTCTGTTTTGGTTAATGTCTCTTTTGCTGTATAGAAGCTTTTCAGTTTGATGTAATCCCAGGTGTTTATCTTTTCCTTTACTTTCTTTGCTTTGGGGGGTGAATCTTTAAAGATGTTACTGAGATATATGTCATGTAGTGTTTTGCCTGTATTTTCTTCTATATGTTTTATGGTTTCAGGTCTTATATTCAATTCTTTCATCCATTTTGAGTTGGTTTTTGTGCATGGAATGAGGTAGTAGTCTAGTTTCATTCTTTTTCATGTGGTGGCCCAGTTTTCCCAGCACCATTTATTGAACAAACTGTCCTTGTTCCATTGCATATTCTTTGCTTCTTTGTCAAAGATTAGTTGTCCATATATGTGTGGCTTTATTTCTGCATTTTCTATTTGATTCCATTTGCCTGTGTGTCTGTTTCTGTTCCACGACTCAACAAAAACAAAGAAAACAATCCAGTCAAAAAATGGACAGATGAGCTAAAAAGACACTTCTCCAAAAAGGAAATGCAAATGGCCAACAATATATGAAAAAATGTTCAACATAATTTATAATCAGGAAAATACAAATCAAAACTACAATGAGATACCACCTTACACCAGTGAGAATGGCACATATTAAAAAAAAAAACTAGCAATAACAAATATTGGTGAGGATGTGGAGAAAAAGGAACTCTCCTACACTAGTTCAACCAATATAGAAAACTGTGTGAAGGTTCCTCAAACTACTAAAAATAGAACTACCATATGACCCAGTAGTAATCTACCTAAAGAACACAAAAACATTAATTCAAAAGGATACCTGCAACCCTATGTTTATTGCAGCACTGTTTACAATAGGTAAGATATGGAAACAACCCAAATGCCCAAAAATTGGCGACTAGAGCAAGAAGATGTGGTATATACACAGAATGGAATACTATTCAGCAATCAAAAAAGATAAACTAATGGGCCTCCCTGGTGGCGCAGCGGTTGAGCGCTGGGTTGCAAAGCTGCCCACAGCCTCTGCAGTGCTGGTTCGATCCCCGGCGGCTGGGCGAGGGTCCCACATGGCGCGCAGATCTCTCCTGCCGCCCGCTGCTCCCCTCAGCAGTGTACTTTGTCACTCTGCCTGTTCTACTCTCCGCTCTGGCTCTGGTGAATTCTCTCACCCTCCCGCGCCTCTGATTGTACCCAGTGCTTGTATAAATAAATAAATAAATCTTAAAAAAAAAAAAGATAAACTCATGCCATTCACTTAACTTGGAGCTGGAAGGGATTATGCTCAGTGAAATAAGTCAGAAGGAAAAAGAAAAATATCAGATGGTTTCATTTATAGGAGGAATATAGGGGAACTAAATAAGGGATCAGAAAAAAATAATAAAAAAATATTAACAGGCAATTATAAATCAGAGACATTCTGCAGGGGAAGGGGAAGGAGAGGAATCAAAAAGGTGAGGGAAGAGCACGAGGGACTGTGGCGATGGTACACAGGTGAATTGGTAGTGGGACTTTTATAGGGACTATACCTGAGAGGAGAAAGCAAATACTATACAAAAATGAATAATGATGCAAAAATATGTATAAATAAATACATTTAAAAATATTTTTAAAATATCCAGTCTCTATGAATTTGGAAAATAACCCGTTAATTATTGTTCTATAAAATGGTAGTGATTGATAAAGACAGATCCCTTAAAGATTAAAAATAAGATAAACTTCAAAAACTCAGTGCCTGGAACATTGAAGAGTTCAATGAACAGCAGCTGCTGATACTTCTTTTTTTTTTTTAAAGATTTATTTATTTATTTATTTATTCATTCATTCATACAAGCACTGGGTACAATCAGGCACGGGAGGGTGAAAGAATTCACCAGCGCCAGAGTGGGGAGCAGAACAGGCAGACTGATCAAGTACACTGCTGAGGGGAGCAGCGGGCGGCAGGAGAGATCTGTGCACCATGTGGGACCCTCACCTGGGGCTGGGGATCGAACTGGTGCTGCAGAGGCTGCGGGCAGCTTTGTAGCCCAGCGCTCAACCGCTGCACCACTGGGGAGGCCTAATATTTCTTATTCAAGTTTATATGATACTTTCTGTGAGTATAAGAGCTCCTAGAGTCCAAATTCTCAGGTCGTTATAAATAATGGCCAAAAGGGACCCAAAAAAAAGAAAGAAAAGGCTTCTACAGAACCCAATATAGGTAAAGCATCAAGATTTAAATGGATATATGTAGCTTTTAAATTTTTATAATTTTTTAGCTTTGCAAAATTCTGTTAGCAGAATTTTAATATGCACTGAAAAGTTTGTTTTGCTAGCAACACTAATCCATTGTCAAAAATCAAGAACAGCAATAAACATTTCGTGGCAGAAGGGATACATTCAAAAGCACTAGAGAAGCCAAGGGGCTTAGTGTATAAGTACCAGTAAACATTAAAGAGAATAACACTAAAATATGTAAAACAGAAAATTTGATATTTACTTTTTCTAAAATAACATGTTTATGTATATATCGTATGGGGCTATTCTGTGTATTAAGATTTTTAGTAGCAATCCCTGGTCTTTACCCACTAGGTGCCAGCAGCACATATACCCCACTTCCTTCGCTGTGATAACTAAAAGTATCTCCAGACATTGCTAAATGTATCCTGGGAGGCAAAATCATCCTTTGGTCAGACCCACCGAGATAAACCTAGATTTGAATTCCAACTCCAGATCCTATGACTATATAAATTTGAACACATTACCACACTCTTAAGCTTTATCTTTCTCAAGTGAGACAATATATGTAAATATTTAACACATGACACATGGTGTTCAGTAAATGATAGCAATTATTATGATACTAAAACCTGTTCTCTTTTGTGCCACTCTGCCTCTCTAACCTTCAAAAATAAAATGCCCCTTTTTGTGTTCTGCAATCAAGTTGTTGAACAAGAATTTCTCATCTAAGATCTTCAAAAGGCATTGATCTTTCATATGTACCATTAGCACTGACTTCAGATTTGCTTTCTCCCTGATTTTGAATTTACTTTTCTTTGTCTTATGTTTTTGTTTGAATTGAGCAGAATTGGGAGTACGTTATTTCATTTGAATCTCCTTCTGGCATAGCATTGTATATGGTGTTCTTTACATATTCATAAACCCTTGAATTAGACACAGTGTGTGTTACAGATGACTTCATTTTTGTAGGAATCGGACCTATAGAAATTAAGTTGTTACTGCTGTTCTTTTTTTTTTTAACAATTAATAAGGACAATTTGTATGTTCTTTAGCTTTTTATTTTTGCAGCTGTGGTTAAAAATATTAGTAACTTGTAATTACTTTGATATGCATATGTCATCTAAATTTTATTGAAACCCTTGGTAGTTAAAAAATAATAGAGATAAGGAAAGGGAACTTTTTTCTCTTCTTTTCATTTATTTAAATTTATTTATTTTTAATTGAAGTAATATGCTCCCATCAAGTATTGCTACTCTAGTATACCTAGGAAAGGGAACTCTTAATGTGCTACAGGTCCAAAGCAAGACATATTAAGTACATTATGTAGTATATTATTTACTTCTTACAACAATATCTTCAAAATAAATAGCATTATCCCTATTTTGTAGGTGAGCTTAGGATGTTTGCCCAAGATTATATCCCCAGTAAGTAAGAGGCATAATCCAGGTTCTTGGTTCTAGACCATCTTATTTTCATAATGCCAAACCACCTCCCCAAAATGAGGAGGATATGTCTCTACCTTCAATTTCTTTGTGAGTCTACATAGCTTAACCCAGCCTCTGAACCACGATAATAGTACAAATTGTAGGATATTGCAACAATAAGAAGTCATTTCTTTCTTGCCACTATGCCTAACTACTTGTCTTGCTTATTAGCCTAGCCTCTCAGTGACCTTCATCTCTGCTGTTCTCCTGGTCCAGTGCAATTAAAGTCAATTTATAGGAATAAGGAAAGTTTTAGTTTCAGCCTCTTTGGTTAAATGAATAAACATTGGTTATGTATATTATTTTAGCTTTTTTAGTTTCATATTGCTTAAGAATGCAAAGCAGTTAAATCTTAAGTCACAAAGCATATGTTTGTCAAGAACCAAGTAGAAGCAGATTTACTTAAAAGTCAAGAGAGCTATATATCCAGTAAGAAGAGCAGTCTCGGAACTACTATGTGATGTTTGTTCTAATAGACTACTGAGTGAGAGTTATTTTTACATCTTTAGTTGCCTGAAACTCTACCGTTTTGGTGTGATTTGTATCTTTTTAGCTGAGAGAAGAAAAGTTACAAGAGGAGAAAACCTCTGAAGATCACACCCACAAGTTGTTACCAGAGGACACAGAAACAGGGAAAAGGAAAATGGATGAACAGAAAAAGAGAGATGAGCCGTTAATACTGAAAACAAACCTGGAGCATGTAAGTAGATCTCCTTTTTGATGAACATTTCCCTCAGTCAGCAATTAGTTCTGGGGAAGGGGATCTGGAAAACCTATGTCTGTAAACTATGAGACCAGTAACAGTCACTGACTATGCAGCTTAAGACTAGGGAAGAACTTACATTCAGATGAAAGATGGAGAAAATCATTCATGACTGGGAAGAGATCTGTGTGGAAAGATTAAGGGAACAGTGGGGGGAAGATGAGAGGAGAAACCTATTATGTATACTGCTTATAACATACATTATTTTATGTACTCTTATTTTGACATGTTTTATTACAGCCTCAATTAGATTTCCATAAATCTTGTATTTTGCTTTCTGTTATTCTTTATAATGCTATAAGCAGCACAGCGCTAGATATAAGGTAGGTCCTCAACATTGGATTAGATGTTTAATTAATTATTTTCCCTTCAAAGATTTATTTATTTATGCATACAGGAACTGGGGCACAGATCAGAGATGCAGGAGGATGAGAGGATTCACCAGAGACAGAGTGGGAAACAGAACAGGCAGACGGACTGAAATGCACTGCTGAGGGGAGCAGCGGGCGAGACAGGAGAGGTCCGCCTGGCCATGTGGGTTGCTCCCTGGCCAGCCGGGGATCGAACTCGTGCTGCAGAGGCTGCGGACTGCCTCATAGTGTGGCGCTCAACCCCTTGTCCCACCAGGGAGGCCCTAGATACTTAATTTAAATTTAACCTAGTGAGATTTCTATCTGGGCTAAATCTTGCCTGAATTTTTTTCCCCTTTGCTTACTTATCAAGCAAATTACTGGAAAGGTTGTGCTTTATTTAACTTAGGCAAGAAGGCACTTTCGGAGTGTCCAACAATTACATTCAAATAAACAATTGAGGGGTTTTTCTTTTTTTTTTCTTTAAGATTTTATTTATTTATATAAGCACTGGGTACAGTCAGAAGCACAGGAGGGTAAGAGAATTCACCAGAGTCAGAGTGGGGAGCAGAACAGGCAGAAGGACCGAAGCACACTGCTGAGGGAACCTGTGGGTGCGGCAGAAGAGGTCTGTGCTCCATGTGGTGACCCTTCCGGGCAACCGGGGATTGAACCGGCGCTGCAGAGGCTGCGGGCAGCTTCACAGCCCAGCACTCAACCACTGCACCACCAGGGGAGGCCCTGAGGGGTTTTTCTTTACCAAATCATTGAACTGGACATCTTCTGTTGCTTGCTGTGTGTGCTTAGCATATTTTTAGAGTCACATCTCTTAAATTATTTTGTGATTTATCAGCTTATTAGTATTTCAGGTTATCTTTCTAATTAGCTAAAATTAATAAAACTTTACCATGTATAAAAGCAAGCATCATATCAGAATAGGAAAAAAATCTCTGGATCAGAAAAAATCTGCCTTTGAGGTATTGTAGGTCCCAGTTTTGTACAGATTGTACAGCTTTGGCCAGGTTACTTCTTTGTGCTTTTTGTATACTCTTTGCAAAGGTATTTTTCCTGAACTTAAAAAAAATGACCTTTTTTAAGCTTTCTTGATTAGTGGTATTCGCTGACTGTTACAAGCATGTGGAGCTTTTTGATTCCAGTTATAATAATAATAGTGATTGTTATTACTAAAAATTATTAAGCACTTATGCTATAGGAAGTTTATCTTCTAAAAGATTCTGTGTAACACAAATGAAATACTTGGGTATTCTTAGTACTCTGTTCAATGTCAACTACAAACTGCAAAAGACTGCTTCTGGAGGGGATATGATTTAGCTAAGAAATCAAGAATAAAATAATGACAGACTATAGTATATAATATATAATAATGACAGACTATATAATGACAGTATATAATATCTCCTGACTAATAACCCCACTACAGTGTCTGTTCTATGTTTTCTAAAGACTAACTCTGCCTTTTCACCTCAGTATTACTATCCACTGGGGACCTCAGACAAAACAATCCCAGATTTTTCTTTTTAGGATAAACCAATCTAACAGAGAGAGCTTACCCTCCACTGTGGTCCTGTTGCAAGTACTTGCTGGTTTTGACCCTACTAGATCCAGTTCTCCTCTAGGAGTAGGAAATTGTTCTATTTTTTTCTTTTTGTCTCTACCATCTATGAAATAGAAATCAGTTACATCAACCTAATTTTATTTTATTTTAAATGATGAGGTTTTTTTTATTATTTTTTTTTATTTTTTACATCGTTGTTCATTTTTGAACAATATTTGCTTGCTCCCACCCCCTCAGGTGTCCTCCCCATAGAGTTTCCTTCCCCAAGGCACCCGTGCACCATCACCTCAGTCCCCTGTGCTTCTCCCTCTCTCCCTCTGATCCCTCTCCCTCCTTCTCCCCTGTAGGATGTCTCTGATTTATAATTGTCCATTTTTGCTTTGTTGTGTTTTGCACTATTATTATTTTTTTACACTGATGTCTTATTTGGTTCCCCTATATTCCTGCTATAAGTGAAACCATCCGATATTTTTCTTTTTCCTTTTGGCTTAATTCACTGAGCATAATTCCTTCTAGCTCCATCCACGTTGCTGCAAATGGTATGAATTTATCTTTTTATATTGCTGAGTAGTATTCCATTGTGTGTATATACCACATCTTCTTGTTCCAGTCATCTATTTTTGGGCATTTGGGTTGTTTCCAGGTTTTACCTATTGTAAATAGTGCTGCAAGAAGCATAGGAGTACAGGTGTTCTTTTGAATCAATATTTTTGTGTCCTTTGGGTAGATACCTAGGAGTGGAATTGCTGGGTCATATGGCAGCTCCATTTTTAGTAGACTGAGGAACTTCCAGACAGCTTTCCATGGTGGTTGGACCAGTCTGCACTCCCACCAGCAATGCAGGAAAGTTCCTTTTTCACCACATCCTCGCCAACATTTGTTGTTGCTAGTTTTTTTGATATGTGCCATTCTTACTGGTGTAAGGTGGTATCTCAATGTGGTTTTAATTTGCATTTCCCTGATTATAAGGGATGTTGAACATTTTTTCATATTCCTGTTGGCCATTTGCATTTCCTCTTTGGAGAAATGTCTTTTAAGTTCTTCTGCCCATTTCTTGACTGGATTTTTTATTTTATTTTTGTTGAGTCATGTGAGTTCTTTGTATATCTTTGACATCAACCTAATTTTAATCTTAAAAGATAAAAGAAAGTGCAAATTCTCTACTAGATTTGTAAGTTTGTTGTATATAGGAAGTGTCTTAGCTATTTTTAAATTTCCTAAAGTGGGAGGCCTCCTTGGTGGCCTAGGGTTTGAGTCTCAGGCTATCACTGCTAGGGCCTGAGTTTAATCCCCAGCTAGGGAGGTAACCCACATGGCACAGCAGACCATTCCTGTCTCTCCTGCTGCTCCCCTTAGCAGTGTATTTCGGTAGATCTCCCTGGTTTGCTCCCCACTCTGTCTCTGGTGAATCTTCTCACCCCCTGCACCTCTGGTCTATACCCCAGTTCTACACAAAAATAAATAAAATTTGAAAAAAAAAAAAGGAAGAAGACCCATGGGAAATAGCTCTTTCCTCCCAGGCTTGGGGTCTCACTTAAAAAAAAAAAAAATTCCTAAAATGTCTTATACATCACAAGCATTAAAAATGTATTTATCAATGGAATTCAAGTGGAGGGAGGAACGTGTTCATTTTAGAAGCAGAGATGATATCATCTGCTGTTATTTTTTTCAGAATGGGAATAAAATGGATGCAGTATTGAATTTAGTATGATTATTATGGTACAGTTAATACCAATAATAATGTAAATTGTTGGAAAACAATTAGGTATAACAATGATAGTCACATCAAAAGTTATATCTTATGAAGATATAGCTTTTGGTTTCATTGATCTTTTGAATTGTCTTTTATTTCTATTTCATTTATTTCTGCTTTAATTATTTCCTTTTTTCTATTGGCTTTTGGATTTTTTTGTTGTTGTTCTTTTTCTAGTTCCTCAAGATGGGAAATTAAGTTCTGGGTTACTTCTTGCTTCTTGATATGGGCCTGTATTGCTATATATTTTCATATTACTACTGCTTTTGCTGAATCCCATATGTTCTAGAAAGTTGTATCATCTTTGTCCCTTGTCTCAAGGTATTTTTTAATTTCTTCTTTAATTTCTTCATTAACCCAATGGTCTTCCAATGGCATGTTGTTCAGTCTCCATGTAATGGGCCGTCTCCTTGCTTTCATGTCATAGTTGATTTCTAGTTTGATACCTTTATGGTCAGAGAAGCTACTTGGCATGTTTTCAGTCTTCATGTATCTGTTGAAGTTGGTCTTGTGACCCAATATGTGGTTGATCCTGGAGAATGATCCATGTGCATTTGAGAAAAATGTGTATTCAGTTTTTGTGGGGTAAAGTGTCCTATAGATGTCTATTAGGTCCATGTTGTCTAGATCTTCATTTAGGGCTCTTGTGTCCTTGTTTAATTTCTGCCTTGTTGATCTGTCCGTTGGTGAGAGTGGGGTGTAAAAATCTCTCACCACATACATATTTTCTCCAGTGTCTGTTTTCAGAGCTGGTGGTAATTGTCTAATGTATTTTGGTGCTCTCTCATTTGGTGAATACATATTTATGAGTGCTATGTCTTCCTGGTGTATTGTCCCATAGAAGATTATAAAGCAGAAAGTGGAAATTAACTTGTCATCCTACAACCTAGAGATGATCCCAGTAAATATTTTGGTAAATATCCTTCCAGAGTTCTTTTCTATTTATTATTTTCTTTTCAGAAAATGCAAACTAGTGTACATAATGTTTTATAACCTTTTTAAATAAGCTGTCTTTCCATGTCAGTAAGGAATTCCCACATCATTATTTAATGGTCTCTTAATATTCTTGACTACAGAATTTATTTAACTAATTTGCTGTTGATATTTTGCTATCTTAAGCCACTACTGTGATGAAATTCCTGTCCCATTTGTTTCTTAGAATAAATTACTAGAAGTGAAGTTACTAGGTCAAAGGGAGTGTCTTTTTTTAAGAGTTTTGATATTTACTACTCAGTTGACCTCAGAAAATTTGTATATAGTTATGCTTTCACCAATAATACACAAAATACTAAGTGAATTTCCTCACACCCTTGCCGGATTTGGTTATTGTTCTTTTAATATTTTTAGGCACAGCATTAATTTAGGTAATGCTACAAAAATTCCATGATGCATGTTTTATGCCATTTTAAGAATCCATAGTGCTTTAGGCTTATTTTTATTTAAAGTGAAAGATGAGAGGTAATCATTTACCTATCTTATGGTTCTAGATTTTGTGGGCATAGAAATAAAAGGGTAGAAAAAGAAAAATACCAGATGGTCTTACTCATAGCAGGGATTTAGAAAACCTAAATAAGGGACCGGGAAAAAAGACTAATTATAATAAAGTAAAAATCAAAATCAATAAGCAACTATAAACCAGAGACACACTATGGGGTGGGGAGGGAAGGAGGGATTAGGGTCAAAATAGGGAGGATGGGAATTGTATGGGGAATATAACCAAGATGAAAATGCATACATGGTGCAAAAATGAAAAATGATGTAAAATATATAAAATAAAATAAAGAAATAAAAGGGTGGGGGAGCAGCTCTCTATTTCTAATAATGTAAAGTTGTTTTTTAATAATTAAAAGGAACTTGACATGTATCTATGGTAATACTAAAATTCTTTTCTTAAATGAGTAATAATATTTAAGTTGACACATCAAAACCTACCTGTAGTTGCATACTTATTACTTGTTAACTAATGTGCTAGATGCTTTTAATGGTTTATCACAATGGAGCAATCTTTATTAAACACAAGGAAAAATGAAGCTCAGAAAGATAACGCAACTAGCGCACAATGACAGTGATAGCTAAGTTATAGAACTGGGATTTGAACACTCTTTTATTTGGTACTGGATTGATTATGCAGAAAGAGTTAAATAAGCAGAAATTGCCATTATTTGTCCGCCGTTAAGTCTATTGATGTCAAAACTTTCTTTTTTTCCCAGAGTTCAGAAGAGAATATCTATAAAATTTGATAAGGGGTTAGTACTATTAAAGTTTCTCTAGTGAATATTTTGTATAACTGGGTTTTTAAAGAGTGATACCTGACACAATTGAAAGACTTCACTATAAATTTTAATTCTTCAACTCTTTCTGAAGATGTTAGGAAACAGCCTATTGCACATATGTGCCTGTCACATATACCCACAGGAAATAACAAAACATTTAAGGAATGCTGAGCTATTAGGCAAATATCTTGCATGCCTCTGTCTATACCTCTCACTTTGATAGTCATTTGATCATTGATAGTCATTTGATAGTCATTTGATCATTTGATACTCATTTTCTAGTTAGACATTTTTTATTTACCTACTATGATGTTACTGATCTTAATAGAAAGATGGCCACTTGCTCAGAGTTTATTATCTGAAGCAGAAGGCAGACTCCTAAGTAAGAAGTTATATTTCAGTGTGATTAGTTGCTATCCATAAAATGAAGACTTTCATATTGAATCATGAGGCACTTCTTCACTGTATATTGTATGCAAATGGCACATGTCTAAAAGAAACTTCATATGTTGGGCCTCCCCGGTGGCGCAGCGGTTGAGCGCTGGGTTGCGAAGCTGCCAGCAGCCTCTGCAGCGCCGGTTCGATCCCCGGCTGCTCCCCGGCCACCAGAGGAGGGTCCCACATGGCGCGCAGACCTCTCCTGCCACCCGCTGCTCCCCTCAGCAGTGTACTTCAGTCTGCCTGCTCTGCTCCCCGCTCTGGCTCTGGTGAATTCTCTCACCCTCCCCGCGCTTCTGACTGTACCTAGTGCTTGTATAAATAAATAAAAATAAATCTTAATAAAAAAAAAAACTTCATATGTAAATTGAAACTTAAAATTGGAAATTGAAACACTCAAAAAGAGACAACAAAATAAAATGAAGGTAAATGAATGGGTTATCAACTAGGTGGAAAAAGCTGACTCGAGAGGTATTTGGAAATCCTTGCAGAGAAAGTGACACTTACGATGACTAAACGGCCAATGAGTATTTTATAGGCAGAGAATGTGGAAGGGAAAGTTTAGGCAAAGAAAATAGCATGTCCAAAAAAGAAATGTTTTTGAAAGACTAATGGTATATGTGGAGAGTAGAAAGTAGTTTGGTTGATTGTAGCCCAGAGTTCCCTGTGTGGGAACAGGTAGGACAGAGCTATGAAGTGTTTGGTCTAATCATCCTGAGGCCACCAGCATTTAAGCAGGGAAATGATCGAATCTATGTGTGCACTTGGTAGTGTGGAAGGGATTGGAGGAAAAAAAGGCTGGGAATAATGAAACCAGGAAGTAAATTATTGCAATAGTCCAGCCAGAAAAGGATGAGAATATGAGGAAAGACAATGACAATGAGAATAGCTGGGAAGAGATTGATGAGAGACATTTTAGGAGTAACGTGAAGGGAGTTGGGAGACAGAAACTCTAGATTTAAATACTAGCTTTAACTATTAACTCTGCAGTCCTAGGTGAAAAACTTTTCTGAGCCCCAGTTTGCCATCTGTAAAAGATAGATCATAATCCCTACTTAATAGGGCTATTTCGTAGAGTATATGAAATAAAATATTTAGAAGCGTTGGGGTACTCAGAACTTATCTACAGTGTTAGTATGACTTCAAAGAAGAGAAAGAGTTGTAATTTACACTGACTTTTCTAACTGGGTTGGCGATGGGATTTAGAGAAGAAAAATAGTGAGTTTGGTTTTGGATATATTAAGTTGGTGTGACATTTAGGTTATCCACCTTGGGATCTCCAGGTGGTAGTTGGAAATACAGATTGGTACTCAGAGAAAAATGACATTAATAGGAAAAGAGATTTGAAACAATAACTAGGGGGAGATTTCATGAGCACCACAGATCAACAGTGTTGTTGTTTCTCTTGTCTCCTGCCAGTGTCCTGCACGTCTCTCAGATTCTGAGAATGAAGAACCTTCCCAAGGCAAGATGACACAGACCCATCGATCTGCATTTGTTTCCAAGAACAGCTCCTACTCCTTAGCTTTCCTGGCAGGGTAAGAGACTGATGCTGAATTCAGTCACGGTTCTTTCATTTGGGGGTATTAAACAAAAAAGGGGCTGGGGGAGCAAAAGTATTTGTTGCAGCTACTTTGGACGGGGGATATGGAAGTGGGGAAAATAGGTGGGAAGTGATTTTCCAATAGGAATTTAGGGACAAGAGATTGACCTAATTTTTAAGGAAAAGTAATATTTACACATTTCTGGTATCCTCAGGGTAGGGTTGTATTAATTGCTCTGCTGAAAAATGTGAACTTAATATCCTGGGAGGAAACAACAGTCTTCTTGGTATGAAACAGCTTCTTCATGCCTTGTTCTCTGTTTGATATATACATGAAAAAACATAATCTTTACCCCATTTTATTGTCTGTTTTGTTTATTTGTTTTAAACTGGCATTGTGCACTTTCTTCCTATCAGCAATATGAAATAGTTTTCTCATTCTTGCTGCCCCTATGGGCATACACCTGGACTTTTTTTTTTTTTTAATCTTAAGGCTTTTTACTGCTTGTCACTAATAAATATGACCATAGAAGCTACCAGAGTTTATGAATGGTATGAGGTATGTACAGTTATGATCCCTGAGGTAGTTTCTATATCTAAATCCTTTCGTATGTTGTTTTGGAGCAGTCTGATTTTGTTATTTCTGAATAACATTCACTAGCCCTCCTCTCCCTTTTCATATCATCCTTTCTCTAGGTAATGACAGTTCTTTCTTTCAGTAATGCCCTTTCCTAGAAGTATTTATTCACTTATTTGACATGTGTTGAATGGCCACTGTATTGTAGACACTCAGGTTTGATTGATGTATTCAGGACCCAATAAGTAAGATGTAAGCCAGTATCCTTTCCATTTATGATGAAGATAGAATTCTTTTTTAATCATGCAAAGCATGTAATATTTCTAAACAGTTGCTTGATAACAAAATTTTAATACAAGAAATTACTCATAGCATTAAATTATATTTATCAAATACTTGAATAAGCCACATTACATACTACAATAGAACAGCTTACTGGTACATGGCAGTGTTCTACACTACTATAAAAATGCTTTGAAGAGATATTGTGCTCAGTGTGATGATCATGTTTTACTTGCTGCAAGCCTTTTGTCTTTCAGTTATATTCCCCCAGTTGATTACATTCCAAATAGTTTTCAGATAATAATCAGGTCTGACAGTTTTTATACTGAAGTTTAATAAGCATGTTCCAACACATCAGTCCCCAGCAGTGAAATAAGACCTGTTACTTGCAGGGAATCTTGGTTAGAACAAGCAGCAATCTGTAAACGGCCCTGTTCCTTTTTGAAACCAAGTCAGTCCCAGCCGAGTCGTGGATGCCAAGCAATACAGTGGTTGACTTCTTAAATTTGTCAAAGGAACCAAAGTTCCCTTTGATGGGCTTTGGGTTCTCTTCCACCATTAGGGCTCAGGTTTATCCAGAAAATGGTGTGATTGATATGGCTTCCACCATTGAACTTCAGTTCAGGCTGAAGAACTACCAGAGTTGTAACTTCACCCTTGGCTGGTGCTTCCTGGTGCTTCTTAGTGGCATCAGGTTGTTGACATAGGTGGCATGGTACTTGCTGTGGTACAGCTGCATGATCTGGGCATTAGTGTGTGGCTCTAGGACACTCATAGAGAAGGTCAGGGGAACTATGCTTCTGCCAGGAACCCAAAGACGCCAGGGCTGGCACCAACCGCCCTTGGCCTCTGAAGGTGGAACTCTTGGATTCTATATATGAGCTTACACTATAGATTCCCTCTGAAGTTAAAAATCAAGATTGCTTGACTAAGAACTGTCACCTGTGGGTTCCCCCATTTATAATAGGCATGCTTTAGTAATTATAAGAGGGGTCTACTGAAAAGGGAAATTTTGTATCATGTCATTCACTCCAATCAAGTACAATAAATACTCCATGGAACAAATAAATGTTACTTTAGGCCATCTGATTAGTTATTTAATATCTCATAGTTTGAAATGACTTGGAAAAAATTTATATAAAATCCAAGTATGCCAAGGCCAAATTGCTCCAATTAGTTGGAGTAGATATTAAACAAGTGAATTACTTATTACCAATTTTAGTCTTTACTTTTGTAATTTGTTCTTTCAAAGAGGGTAACAGGTTAATATGTAATTATTTAGAAATTCCTAGCAAGGAACTTAGAAAATCCTTGTAAGCAAAACCCAAAGCTTATATGGAGAGGTGTGCTTTTGATTATGTGTGGTACTGGAGTATCTGTAATATATCTTCTTTTCCTGCTTCCTGGCTATTCTTGCCTTACCCTATATCATTAAGCCACATGGGACTGATTTTTAGGAATGTATTCATTTAGGAATTTTTAGGAATGTATTCATAAAATGGATACTGAATGTATTCATTTTACTGTTAAGAAATTTTTGTAGTCAGTATTACACATATGTGAACTTGAGGGTTCTTTTTTTCCAAGTATTCAAGTAGACTGAGTTCAATTATTAGTGCAATTATTATAACAATTAACTGCTTTTAGTTGACAGTATGATCTTTATAGGAGATAATTTGAGGATGTTATGGAAATGTTAGGTTGGTAAATTATGGTAGCACTGTAAATTGCATCTCTTATTTTTTAACAATGCTTTTATCTTAGATAAGATATTGTTTCAGTCCCAAATGATACACAGGAAAACAATATGGAATTGTTACTGCCATCAGTGAGATGTCATATGTTCATATTAAAAAAGAATTAGAATGGTGATGGTTGCACTACACTGGTACTGTGAACTTAAATGATTAAAATGGTGATGGTTAAACTTTATGTATTTTACCACAGTAAAAAAGAAGAGGCATTGTTTATAGTTTTGGGGTATTTCAAATGAATTTTTTCCTTTTTGTTAAGCAATAACAGAAGAATAGGTTTTCTCTGCAAGTTCTTTTACTGAAGAGAGTTCCTATATAAGAAGCTTTATAAGTTTTTACAACTGTATGTTAACAAATAAGTCTGCTCTTTGACTTATCTACTTTATAAACTTTTCTTCCTTAGACCCCAAAGCATAGAGATAAGAGTGGGTAGGACTGATAGCATGATTTTTTTGGAAGGACTCCATTAATAGATTCTGGCTACAAGTCTTGCCAGCAGTTCAGTCTGTTTCACTTGAAAAATTCAAAGCAAAAGGACTTTGAAGCAGTATAAATGACGTTCAACAGACCTTTGAAAATGAAACTTCTTTCAAATAGGCAGATAGTTAACCCAAGATCATTGATAAATCAATCACAAAATGTTAATCAAAAAGATTAACTTGAGTCATAAGCTAATTGTAAATTTTAGTTTAAATATATAAAAACTTGCTTTGTTTCTTTAAATTTATTTTCTTTTACTCCTCATTCCCTTCTGCCCACAATGGAATCAAACAAAAAACCTGGTTGTAAATTCTTTTAAAAGCTCAGCCTGGAAAAACTTTCTCATTTGAGCTATGTCTTTTCTAAGAGCTATGTGTCTACTTTTCTTCTCTGCTTTAATTTACAGGAAGTTTAGGATTAAGACAAAGTTTTTAGGTTAGTCATAATGGGTTTTCAACATGGCCTTTAATTTAAATAATTTTGAGTATCTTCCCATGTTTAGTACAAAAGTGATCTTTATTCTCTATTAAGGCTCAGTCGTTAGGTATTTTCACTATAAGCCACTTCACATCTTCTTGAAAATAGGGTATAATCATAAAAAATATGTAATCAAACCATTTTCCACTTGAAATAATAACAAAAGAAAGAAAATAATGCAGTAATGACAGCATTGCCATCCCATTAAAAATTGTGTCTTAAATAAATGTTGCCTAGCAAGATTTCTGGCACATGATAAATCTTTGGTGAATGTTGCTGCTATTTTGTTGCTTTCTTTTATAAGATGGACTCATCACTAATGTGGACCTTACTGTCGTTTTACCTAACCCTGTTGTTTTATGGATGAGAAGATTAAAGCCTGGAGAGAGAACATGACTTTCCAAAAATCTTAGATTTTTGTGATAGTAGGAAACTGAGTTAGAGCCATGGATTTGTAACTCTTTCCACTATACTTCATTGTTTCCCACCTTCCCCCGCCCCACATGACCTTCTTATATATCTCTATGATGCCTCTGCCCATCTTTTCCCATAAGATTTTAAATGCCTTGTAAGAAGGAATAAAATATGATTTGCCATTATATTTGCAGTATTTGATAATGGTACTTGGCATGTAGTAGAGACTCATTGAATACTAATGGAATGTTTGAATAAGATAGGTCTTGTGTGGGGGAGTGGACTAAATTGGAGCTTTGTCAGAACTGATTATTAAACTTGCAGCATAGGTGGGAGGGAGAACTTTGGCACCTGTGGATAAATAGATTGACTGGTGGCTGTTTTTCAGCTTTTTAGAGTCCGTAAGATTAATATGGGATTGGGGGTGGGGTTCTAGTGATCATATTGGTGAAGGTTTTAAAATATAAAGTTACCTTTAGCCTCCTAATGCATTAGCGATAGCTTGTGATGATTCTTTCAATAGATTCTATAAAAGAAAGATCTGTGTTCCACTGAATAGAAATTAAGCATTAATTAAGTAGAAATTAGTAAAATAGAACAGGCACTGTAAGGTAGCTGTATAGGACAAGATGTAGACAGAGATTGACTGACAGACACAATAATGTTAAAAGTATGCCCAGTCAATGTTGGAATGAAATAAGATAGAGTCGTCCTTCCTTAAAATGAACAAACGAGCATACAGAAACTTTCAAGTAACAAATATCAGACAGACACGGAGTCATATGATAATGAAGGACTAGCTCTAGAACTGATGAGGCAAAGCCAGAGAGGCTGGGGACAGGGCAGGGAGAGGGAGGCTAGTCTAGGATAGATTTCAGGGAGGATGTGGCAGTGTGAGTGTCAGTCAAATCAATTGAACTGCTTCTGTATCTTTGTAAAACGCAGATTGTTATATCCTACCTTCTTCCTAGGCAGGAGGCTTTACCACATGGTTTCTTAAAATTCTCCCAC